CTCGTCTGTTTTGCAGGACCACTTCTGAGAGTGATGTGAGGGAGTCCTTAAGGGCTGTTATAGAAGTCTCTAACTCTTTTAAGTCCTGATCTATGGCAGCCTGGAGCTGAAGCATCTGGCTAGACCCTTGGGCAAGGGCGGTAGCTCCAGTTCCTATTCCTATTGCTGTTCCAACCCCTAGGAGGACTGCTATAGTGAGTGACACAGGTTCCCTCTTGAAGCGGGTGACACGCTCTCCCACCATCTCCTCGAATGAACTTGCATCATGATATAGTACCCGAGGAAACAAACGGACCATAACACAAAAGTGATGAGAACTATTGAATACAGCAGTGGAAATACAAGGGGTTAGACCAGTACTGCAGGCCCACCAAGTTCCCGCCTCTGGAGCTAGATACTCAGCTGTGGAGTTCATAAAGACAGTTCTGGCACATAGTTGCTGGTGGCTCAGTGGGGGAGTACCTATGCAGAGTCCTCTACCAGAAACCTCAGGGAGGGTTAGCTTGTGATTTCCTCCCCAACTGCAGGCGGAGCTTGTGGTCAGGGTATAGGTTCCGTTTACTGCAGTCCCCTCATAATAAGGGGGTGTTGCTGAGAGGCAGAGCCAGCAGGATCGAGTCAAATTACTTTGGGTTGCATTAAGTGCAGTGTAGGCCCCACTTATGAGGTTGAACAGGGGGAACCTGCCACTTGGGCTTCTCAGGGTAGTGGCTCCGCTACTCGGGGTTCGGGCAGGGGTGGTAACTTGGGGAAATTCTGCTATTGACCCCACCGAGTAGTGGGGCCGAAGTGGGGAGGCCGGACGGAGGACAGCCGGATTGGGCCCCACAGGGACTGGTGTGGTCTCTTGTCGTAATCTGATAATGAACCAGAGACCAAAGTCATATCCGGAGGCATAAAACCTAAGCCCCCAGGTCCTCCCCTTGTACCAGTGGGGGAGCTTGTCCGCTCTTCTGCCCCGTTCTGTTAGGGTGATATTTAACCCATTACACAAAGCTTCTGTTTTACATTCCCCCCTTTTGTTGCTCCAGTGGACAGTTATCCAGTCTGAACTGGATCGGGTGGTCCAATAAGCTGACCCCGTGGTTTCACACCCCCATGCTGCGCAATAAAGGGATTCAGGCCCACCACAGCTCCGTATCTTACTTCGACTACGATCATCTTTTGGACAAACATAAAAGGTGAGGCGGCCCAGGGAGGTACGCTTGCCACTATTTAGACATCCCGGTGCATGATCATCAGGGAACCATCCATAGTAGAGTAAGTGACGCCCCCCGGTTGCTGATGGAATTTTGTTGGGGTCCTCAATCTCCGGTATATCCCATGTGTCTAGGCCAAGGGCTAGCTGGCATATGTCTGGAGATAAGGTGGGCCACCAGCTACCCGGAGTATGGACACCTTTGATTGACCAGACTACTTGCCCTGTTGGGTTGAGGACTTCCCAGGTTAAGGTTACAGGGGCATGGGGATTACTTGCTATCAGATAGGATAGGCAGGTGTTTATCCATACGGCGAAAACGAAGCTTAAGGGGGTTGTCAGTCTTTTCCATTGTCCATTCTGGTCCCGGTGGCGGTGCAGGCTTGAGATGAGAGGCATGGATCCAAGAAGTGATGCCATCTACTTTTACTGCGGTCGGGGTGGTCAGCAGCACTATGTAGGGTCCTTTCCACCGGGGCTCCAAGCTGTGGGTCTGGTGCCTCCTCACGAACACTGAGTCTCCAACGTGAAAGGAGTGGGGTACTTTAAGGTCTCCTGGCTGATAAGCAGAGGCCAATGGTTTCCAGACAAATTGCTGGATCCCCTCTAGAGCCTTTAACCTGGAAAGTAAAGGAGTATAAGGTAATGAGTCTTTGTCTATGGTGGGTGATACTTTCGAGACCGGAGGTGGGGTTCCATACAAAATTTCAAAAGGGGTGAGATTATACATAGAGGGTGAGGGAGTGTTCCGGGCACGGAACAGGGCATAAGGTAGGAGCAAGGTCCAATCCTGAACGCCAGTCTCTAAGGTCAATTTAGTTAAGGTCTCCTTAATGGTTCTATTCATCCTTTCTACCTGCCCTGAACTTTGGGGACGATAGGCACAATGTAATTTCCAATTAATCCCCAACACCTTGGCCACTCCCTGACTTACCTGGGCCACGAAAGCAGGTCCGTTATCTGACCCAATTACCTGGGGCAGTCCGAATCGAGGAAAGAGTTCTTCCATAATTTTCTTTACCACCACTTGCGCTGTTTCCCTTCGGGTGGGGTAGGCCTCTACCCATCCTGAGAAAGTATCTACAAAAACTAAGAGAAATCTTAACCCATATTTGGCTGGTTTGATTTCAGTAAAGTCCACCTCCCAAAACTGACCAGGCCTGTTTCCTCTGAGCCTCTTTCCCTCTGATGTTTGGGATGGATGTGCATTTACAACCTGGCAGGCCCGACAATTCTTAGCCACTTGTTCTGTCAGCCTTTTGTTTTCCATAGCAGTCAGGGAGAAAGGTTGCTCCCTCAGCAGCTCTTGCATCTTCCTGGCCCCCAAATGAGTGAGCTGATGTACATGCTGTAAGTAGGAGGCCGCTTGTTGTTCCTTACTCCCTGTAGTTTCGGGCGCCGTGTCCTCCTCAGGAGTCTTGTTCACTAGTGCTAAAACCTCTGCCCCTTTAAGAGCTGCAGCCTTTGCTTCTTCATCTGCCCGCCGATTTCCTGTGGCTACAGGGTCCGACCCCTTTTGATGGCCGGGGCAGTGTACAATAGCTAATTTGGTAGGCAGTAGGACAGCTGCTAGTAATCTAAGGATTTCGGCCTTGTGTTTGATGTCCTTTCCGGCTGAGGTCAACAGTCCCCTTTGCTGGTATATGGCCCCATGTACATGAGCCGTGGCGAAGGCATAACGGCTATCCGTATAAATGGTAGCCTTCTTTCCCTCCGCCAGTTCTAAGGCTTTTGTGAGAGCAATTAGTTCCGCTTTCTGAGCGGAGGTCCCTTCTGGTAGCCCTGCGGACCATACAACCTTGTCCTTGCTAACTACCGCCGCCCCTGCGCATCTCTTACCATCCTGCAGGAAGCTGCTGCCGTCCGTGAACCAGGTCACCTCTGAATCAGGCAGTGGAAAGTCCTTCAGGTCACGACGAATTCCTGCCTCTTCTGCTAGGATATCCTGGCAGGAATGTAGGACTGGGTCTGCAGCCTCTTCCGGGAGTAGAGTGGCAGGGTTCAAAGCAACTGGAGATCCAAAGGTCACTCGGTCCTTGTCTAATAGAATGCTCTGATAGTGCGTGATGCGAGCATTCGAGAGCCACCGGTCTGGGGGTTGCCTAATGACACTTTCCAGCATGTGAGGAGCCACAATAGTCAGTTTTTGTCCCAGAGTCAGTTTATCCGCATCTTTGGCTAGTAAAGCAGCGGCAGCTATAGCTTTTAGACAGCGGGGCCAGCCCCCGGCTACCGAATCCAAACGTTTGGATAGATAGGCTACAGGCCTTTTCCAGGGTCCCAAGGTCTGAGTTAAAACCCCTCGAGCCACTCCCCCTCGCTCCTCCATGTAAAGGGTGAAGGGCTTTTCAACATCAGGAAGCGCTAATGCCGGGGCTGATAGCAGGGCTCTTTTTATATCATCAAAGGCTTGCTGCTGTTCTGTTCCCCAAGTGAATTCCGCATCCCCCTTCAGGAGCGGGTACAACGGGGCAGCTAGCGAGGCAAATCCCGGAATCCACAGTCTACAGAACCCAGCTGTCCCCAAAAACTCTCGGAGTTGTTTTCTGGAAGTTGGTGTGGGGATCTGCACAACAGTCTTTTTCCTCGCCTCAGTTAACCAACGTTTTCCTCCCCGGAGAGTATACCCCAGGAAAGTAACTTCTTGTCTGCATAATTGGGCCTTTTTAGCTGATGCCCTATACCCCAGCCGAGCGAGCTCCTGCAGTAAGGAGCGAGTCCCGTACTCACATTCTTCCTGAGACGGCGCGGCCAGCAGCAGGTCGTCTACATACTGGAGCAGGGTTACCTCCGGGTGCTGGGTTCTGAAGGCGCCCAAGTCCTGATGGAGGGCCTCATCGAAGATCGTGGGGGAGTTCTTAAATCCTTGGGGCAGCCTGGTCCAAGTCAGTTGTCCTGCAAGGCCAGCCTCCGGGTCGGCCCATTCAAAGGCGAATAGTGGTTGGCTGCTTTCACAGAGTCGCAGACAGAAAAAGGCATCTTTTAAATCCAATACAGTGTACCAGCTCCTGTCAGGCGGAAGGGAACTCAGAAGATTGTAAGGGTTAGGGACGGTGGGGTGTATGTCCTGTACCCTACTATTAACCTCTCGTAGATCTTGCACCGGTCGGTAATCCCCGGTCCCCGGTTTCTTGACGGGAAGGAGTGGTGTATTCCAAGCTGACTGGCAGGGCTTCAGGACGCCTCCCTGCAGTAGCTTTAGAATATGTGGTCTGATTCCTTCCCGAGCTTCCTTACTCATGGGATACTGCCTCACCCGAATTGGAACTGCAGAGGTTTTTAAGGCAACCACTACCGGAGGTTGATTTCTCGCCAGCCCTAATCCAGCCTTCTCCGCCCAGGCATCTGGATACTCGTTAAGCCACCTTGTTACATCCTGTTCCTTTACCGGGGAGTCATACAGGCGGTATTCGTCCTCCACAGACATTGTCAGAGCCGTTACTACTGGTTGCTGGACTAGGGGGCTCAAGAACTCCACTCTGGGCCCTTCGGAGTTGAAGGTGATGCGGGCTTTTAGTTTGGTAAGCAGATCTCTCCCCATAAGGGGAGCTGGACAGTCAGGTATCACCAGAAAGGAATGATGGACCTTTCCTCTTCCCAAGTCTAAAGTTCTTTTGGTGGTCCAGGCTCGGTATCGGCTGCCGTTGGCACCCCTCACCAGGGACCGCTTGGTTGACAGCGGTCCCAATGGTGCTTGTAATGCCGAGTAAACAGCTCCGGTGTCCACCTCAAAGTCAATAGGGGTCCCCTCCACATCAAACTTTACCCTGAGCTCGGGGAGGGGGTCCGAGCCCCGTCGCCCCTAGTCTTCATCCAGGGCCAGCAACGTGGGCTGCTTGGCCTGCAAGCCCTTCTTGAGCTTAGGACAATTCTTCTTCCAGTGTCCGTACTCCTTACAGTAAGCACACTGATCCGGGTCCAAGTTTGGTCGTGGCCCTGTACTGCCTCCCTTCCTGTCTCTCTCCTTACTACTACTGACTACTGTGGCCAGGATTTTAGTCAATGCTTTATCTCTCTTTTTGTCCCTTGCATCCTCTCTCTCTTCTCTCTCCTTTTCCTTACGTTCCTCTTTCTCCTCCTCTGTTTCCCTCTTATGAAAAACTTTATCTGCTTCTTTAACTAGGTCCCTAAGGGTAAGGTCCTGCAGCCCATCAAGGCGTTGCAGCTTACGCCTTATATCTGTAGCAGATTGGCCAATGAAAGCCATGGCCACTGAAGCCCTCTGATCCTCCGACTGCGGGTCGAAGGGGGTAAACCTCCGATAGGCTTCCATTAACCTTTCTAAGAAGGCTGCAGGGGATTCAGCAGGACCCTGGACGACCTCCCTTACCTTAGCCAAATTGGTGGGCCGCCTGGAAGCTGCCCGGAGACCCGCCACGAGAGCCTGGCGATAGGAGGACAGATGCTCCCTACCTTCCGGAGTATTGGGGTCCCAATTGGGGCGAGCCAATGGGAAGGTGTCATCAATAATATTCTGTAGCTGTGTCGGACGCCCATCTCGCCCTGGAACGTTCCTCTGAGCTTCTAACAGGATTCGGTCTCTTTCCTCTGTGGTGAAGAGGGTCCCCAGAAGTTGTTGGCAATCATCCCAGGTGGGCTGGTGAGAAAACATAAGGGACTCCACGAGACCTGTTAACCGAGTGGGGTCCTCAGAAAAAGGAGGGTTATTATTTTTCCAATTATACAGATCAGAAGAGGAAAACGGCCAATACTGGAGGGCCGGCATGTCTCTCCCGTCCCCGTTATCCACCATAGGCCCATAAGGGCGTAGCGGCATAATGACAGCCTCAGGCCCCTCATCCGGTGGGCACCGGCTCCTGGTCCGCTGGGCCGGACCGCCATCCGGCGGTGTCGAAGGACCCTCAAGGGTAGAATCCGGAGAGGCCACCAACGGGGGTATCGGCAGGGGAACAGGAGCGGGTGGCGTAGGAGCAGGCAGATCGGGCACCTGGGGCGGCGACCGATCGTTCTGCTGCGGCGCTCGGGCTGCCGGAGGCTGCGGATGCAATGGCAGAGGCTGAGGTGTGGCATAAGGCGGTGGGGAATCTAAAAGGATAAGGTCAGGTTGGGAGTCCGGGAGGACCGGGGGAGCAGAGGGCGAAGAGGAAGGAACAGCCGACTTTACAGGGAGTATTGTGGGCTCCGGAGCCAAAGTCGAGGACCTGGGAAGGGAACTAGGAGGTAAGAAGGGCTTTACCCACGCCGGGGGGTTTTCACATAAGTCCTGCCAGACCAGGATATAAGGTTCCTGGTCTGGATGTCCGTGACGACCAGGCTGAAAAACCAGATTCCTTACCTCCCTGATGAGAGGCAAATGGAAGGACCCCTCCGGGGGCCATCCGACATTAAAAGAGGGCCACTCGGATGAGCAGAAAGTCTGCCATTTACTCTTCTTGACGATAAGGGATAGGTTTTGAGCCCGTCCCCTGACTTCTGACCAGTGATCCAGGGTCAGAGACAAAGGAGTAGAGGCAGACTGGCCCATTACCGAAAACACACACACACTAATGACAAGAAACAAAGAACAAAAGACAAGGACAGACACAACGCGTTGAGACAAAAATCGAAGGATCCAAAAAGAAGGTTTTACAAAGCCAATTGACCTAGCTGGCAACAGAGTTTCAGTACCAGACTCAAAATCTAACAAACTTAACAGACGAGAGGAATCCAGGCGCCCCTGGTCCTCTCCAGGCTCCACCAGGGCGTCCCCCGGGGATGTGGCCTGCGACCTCTCGACACGTCTGTCAGTCGCAGTCAGGGGAGGCTCACGCCCCTCCCCAACAGCCACCAGACCAAACAGATTTGCTAGCATGAACCAAACAGATTTCAAAACAGATTTGCCGGCCCTGACAAAGTTCGAGCTCTCAATTTCTAAGCGATCGCTCACTTACCCCAAGAAGCGTCTGTTGGAACGTTGATACCCAAAAGCGGCTGCAGTCAAATATCTCGGTGGAACCTCCAAAATGTAAAGCCCTGGATGCAAGCCGCTGTCACAAAGAACCAAGAGACGCTTCTCATGCAAACTGCAAAGGGTTTATTGATACCAGCATGCCAGGACTCACAGCTTTACTCTGAGCACTCACAGCTTTACTCTGAGCACGGAGCATCCGCTGTGAGCCCCGACCAAGAGTTTAAGGACACATTATATACTTTTTCGGTGGGAAAGGAATGTAGTTTGGGAATTTTCCGCTGATGATCTGGCTTCCTGGGTGAGTTAATGCCTGTCTGGTTTCTTTATCAGATTATCTGTCCTCCAACTCCCTCCCTAGCCGCAGCCACTTCCCGTAACCTCCCTGGCTGCAGCTGTCTTCCATAAAAGTTGTTTGTCCTATCTCCCTTTTCTGATCTAGATCAGATTGTCTGTTCCTTAGTTTCCTCCCTGACTACTTCTGGCATCTGTCACCTCCAGCACCCGGGACCAAGGCTTCCCTGGGGCTGCCAGCAGGCACCCAGGACCAAGGCTTCTCTCTGGCCACCGGCAGGCATCTGGGACCCGGGCTTCCCTCGCAGCCCCGGCTTCATCCAGAAGGTCATCCGCAAGGATGTCCAGAAGGACATCTGGTCTAATTAGCATATTACGCTTTTATTATTATAGATAACCCCATCCTGAGCTGAAACTGATTAATCGAAAGCATATTCAAATGCCTGAAGTCCTTAGAACATGTAGTGTAATGATCAGATAATTTTCTGTTACAAAACTGACAAATAAAACTCATACTCCTTGATGCCGTAAGACAGTGGTTCTCAACCTTGGCTGCACATTAGAATCACCTGGGCATCTTTTTCAAAACCTGATTTCTGGGCCTCATCCTCCGGAAATTCTGTTTCTTTGTTACTAATGTTGTGGCCCCACCCCATAACAAAGAAACAGAATTTCCGGAGGATGAGGCCCAGATATCAGGATTTTAAAAAGATTCCCAAGTGATTCTAATGTCCAGCCAAGGTTGAGAACCACTGCCGTAAGAGGAATTTATTGGCTTAAGTAATTGGAGAATCCAAGGCACATGTGGGTCCAGGGCACAACACCCCCAGGTGTGAGCTCCCACTCTCTCCATCTCTTGATTGTGCTTTTCGGTCTTCCTCTTTGCAGGCTGACCTTAGTGTGTCCTGCCATTCATGGCTCTCTGTTCAAGAGGCAAAAGAAGCCCTATCTGGTTTTGCTCAGTGGGTAAAACATCAGCCTGTGTACCAGAAGGTCCCGAGTTCGATTCAGGTCAAGGGCACATACCATGGTGGCAGGCTCCTCCCTGGCCTGGGCCCTTGTCAGGGCTCATGCAGGAGGCAACTAATTGATGTGTTTCTCTCACATAGATGTTTCTCTGTCTTTCTCTCTCTCTTCCACTCTCTCTAAAAATCAATGGGAAAATATTCTTGGGTGAGGATTTAAAAAAAAAAAAGAGGCAAAAGATAGGCCTCTCACAATTCATGAGCCACAAAGAAGAGAGATGCACTGTTTCCCACATCTTAGAGAGAAATCACCTGGGAGACGTAGGATTGGCCATACTGGAAACACCCACATTTTAGACCAATCACTATAAATAGAGTATACGGATACCAGGATTGGTCAGCCCTTCGTCACATGCTTGATATAGTGGCTGGGAGAAGAGGAACACTTTTACAGTTGTTGCAGAAGCACAAGCGGAGGGATAGTACCACCATGGGAAAAGTACGGATCTAACAAAGAAGACTGTGTGTTGAAAATAGAGAATAATTGCTTGGAATGAAGAGAGGAGCAGAGTATAAACGCTGAAGACACGGAACCAAGATCAGCAGAGCAGGTAACCCCAGTTCCAATTAATTCATACAGCACCCTACGATGGAAAACTTCTCAGGGAAACCTCGTCTTTCAGTGGATTGATGATGCCGCTTTCCCCTCACCACAGGGCCTTCTCCTGCCTGGAATTCCTGGGCTAGTGAATGCCTAAGCTCCATCACATGGCAGACACAATCTATGATATGGAAGAAAATAAATGGAGGGAAAAGGGAAAGAACCAACCAACTTGAATTTGGGTAAGTCAGGTGAGCTTTCTGAGCGCATTTTTTTCATCATATTTATATATTACTTTTGATGGTTCTTTGAGAATTAAATATAATATAAATATGGTTCTAAAAATTGGCAATCTAAACACAGATATAAGGTATTCTTATTAATGTTGTGTAAGATTTATTGGTTCCCTGCCTAGCAATACATCTATTAATATTGAAAATTAAAATGTTGCCTGATTTATCTTTCTGAGACAGCTAAAACGTCATTATCATGGTCATTTCTTCCTTCAGCTAAGCAAGGGGTTCTCAGCCCTGGCAGTGTATACAAATTGCATGGAAGCTCAGTAATGTCCGGATACCTCGATGCAACCCAGAGATTTTGCTTAAAATCGTGAGGGCTGGGAGTCTAGGCATCTGTATGTTATTAATCTCGCCAGGTGGTTTTCATGTGCAGCCAGGGTTGGAAAGCCGAGACCTCGCCCATTATAGCCTCATTAGTACCTGAGTGCTTCTCTCTGCCTCTTCAAAATAGGCTTCTCACCTGACTTCAGGTGAGTTTCTTAAACAGCAGCTACAGTACATGAAATTGTCAGCATCCTCCCCTTTAGTCAGCACCCTCCCTTTCCAGGGTGTGATAGGCCACTTTTGTAACATTCTCTCGAGCAGAAATTCTCTTCCAAATGTGTCTTTCTTGCAGAGATCTGTGCAGAGCAAGTAAAGTAAAACAATTTAGCCATGTAGCTAAATGGATGACGTACACTAGAGGTGAAATTTTTGTCTAAGGTTTGCAGTTACTAAAATTTACGTGTGCTTCTAAATACTTAACAAATTAAGGAGGCTGGGGCCAATTTAACTCAATCCCGAAACCTTGTCAGCTGAATTCTAATTCCAGATGTACTCTCGATTTAGCTGATATTTCTTGCAATTGTTAACCGCATTGTGGTAGGGGAGAAAAAAACTTTCATTTAGATGCATTCAATTCACCAAAATATTACTGACTGCCTACTGTGTTCCAGGCAAAGCGCAATTGCTTGAGTGAGTGGGAGCCGGGGAAGGTAAGCAAGTCTGAAACCAAAGACAAATACTCAAGCTTTATGCTCCCGTGGGAAAGTTACAGGGGCTGATTTTGCAGCATTCTTGACAGGTTGGGCCAGATATCTCTTTGTCCTAGGGGGAGGCAGTGGGCTGTCCCCGCGAATTGTAGATTCTGGCCACATCTCTGATCTTTACCCACTAGATGCCAATAGAAACCCCACCCCCAAGTTGTAACAACAACAAAAATGCCCACAGACTTGCCAAATGTCCCTGGAGGAACAAAATCGCTCCCAGTCGAGGACCGCTGTTTTATTAGAGTGACCACAGAATTCACTATTGTGATATGACCACCGAGTTAAGTCTTTGGCCAGTTTAGGAAACAATTTTATAGAAAATTAATATTAACAATCACAACAATAATCATGAATAATCATATTAATTTCAATTAGGCTGTCACTGTGTACCAAGCACTCTTCTGGGTTTGGGAATATATGATTCCATTAGTCTCTGCTCCTAATAAATGAGAATATGTCCAATAGTGCAGGATAAATAATAAGAAATTGATCATTTCTAAAGAAAAAAAAGTGTTTTCTTGTACTTCAACTGATATTGAATGGATAAAATAAAATAGGCTAATGTGATAGAGCATCACTATGTTCCATTTCACGTGGAATCCTAGGGAAAGCCTCTTGGAGGAAGTAGCAGTTGATTGAGATCTGAACTGTGAGAACTGAGCAGTGGAAAAAACTGGAGTGAGAGCATCCCAGGAGGGGAAGTACCAAGTGCAAAGGCACTCATCTAGGACTAGAGGCATTTAGACGGAGACAGAGAAATCAGGGGGCTGGGGCGCTCTAAATAGAGAATGGAAATTTGGGAGGTTTAAGGTGAAGGTTGAGCCAAATAACTTGGTTATTGGAAATGGAAAGAAATTATAGTTTTATTCCAGGAGTGACAGGAAGTCAGTGGAAGGTTTTAAGGAAGGGGTCAGTTTGATGATAGGAGGATTTTAATAAATCGGTTGATTGCTGAGACTATTGTATCAAGGGCAAGAGACAGAAAGTGAAACTAGTTAGGGGTAGTTTCTTTCAAGTTATTAATCACTTCAATAGATAATGGCTCCAGTTGGAATGATAACAGTATATATGAAGGGAGGCACTGGGATTTTGGAAATTGAATCAATAAAACTTATTGATGGGGGAGGGTAAAGGTGTGAAAGGGTGAAATAAAAAAAATCAAAATGGCTTTGAGCACAGGTGGTGCCATTTTTCTAAGATGGGGGAAACGAGGGAAGAAGTAAATAGGGAAGTAGGGGTGATGGGAATCAGTGGTTCTATTTTATATGTTTTAGTTGCACCTTGAGAATCAGGTAGCAATCTCAAGTTGGCAACTGAGCCCTAGGATGGAGAGCAGCCAAGACGAGGGAAATAAATTTGAATGATGATGACATTATAGCTATGAGACCTCATGCGTTCACTTAGGAAGAGAATAATCAAGTTCAAGACTAGCCCTAAACACTCCAAAGTTAAAAGTTGAGTAGAGAGCCAGCATATGAGACAGAAAAATAACCAGTGAGGTAGGATCAAAAACAAAAACACCACAAGCAAAAAAAAAAAAAAACCCGGAAGGTATGGTGTCCTTGAAACTATATAAACCAGGAGTGGGGAACGTCCAGCCCCAGGCCGTATAAGGCCTGAGAAATCATTTGGTCTGGCCCTGCCAAGGCATTAGGGGTGAGTTAATTAACTGTTGGACCAAATATAGCAGGCTAATTTTTAGTTGATAATTTTATATGGCTCTCGAATGATGTTATAAATACCCAAATTGCCCTCGGCAGAAAAAAAGGTTCCCCACCCCTGA